GTGCTTAGATGCATCTATTCGACTTTGTTAGTAATAGCTTTTAGTTCATTTTCTCATTAAGAAAAAGATGATAGTTCAATTATTTCAGATGATACCAAAACCAGCTTTTGACAACTCACCTTAACAAGTTTTCACGCTTTGAACTTAGTAAGTTTATAAGGGCATTAAAAATGGTTTATAAAGGTCTTATGCTACTCCAAACTATCCTTTTAGAGTTTCTGCGTTAGATGCTCAAGATTTTCCCATAATTTCAATTCGTTAGAATAATATGTCAAGTTTCGAAATTCTTTGTGATCTTGTGCAGAATGATACACGTTATTTTGGAGCCCTACTTGGAAGGGTTGTTAACCGGATTGGTGGTGCTCAATTTACTTTGAATGGAACCCTTTATAAGCTTGTTCCCAATGAAGGCAATAACACCATTCATGGTATACTCTCATTACATTTCCTTTTACCCTTTTTCTCTTCCACTTTCACCTTCATTTACTCAAATTTCCTTTCCCTGTGTTTGCTACTGTCTGTTTATTGCTTCATTTTCACTTCTTTTGAGCCGAGTGTCTTTCGGAAACAGCCTCTCTACCTTCGTTAGGTAGGGTAAAGTCTGCGTATATCTCACCTTCCCCAGACCCCACTTGTGGGATTTCACTGGGCTTGTTGTTATTCCTTTCTCCCTCACTGACATAATTAAACCTCAAATAAAAGGTGGCCCTAAAGGATTTAGCTATGTTGTCTGGAAGGTGAGCAAATACGTGCAAGATGGTCTGTGCCCTTGCATAACTCTAACATACCATAGTGCTGATGGTGAAGAAGGTAAAATCTTGGTATTCCATACAAGATAATTAATTTCTTTGTGAAGGACACTATGAATTGAATAAACATTATTGACATCTTACGTAGGATTTCCTGGTGATGTTCTTGCCTCTGTTACCTATGCATTAAAAGATCCTTACAAACTTAGTGTGGTATTTAAGGCAAAAGCACTGAACAAGGCCACTCCAATTAACCTGTCTCACCACCCTTACTGGAACATTGGTGGTCACAACAGTGGCGACGTCTTGTCCCAGGTTGTTCAAATCTTTTCATCACACATCACCCCAGTTGACGAACAGCTCATTCCCACAGGCGAGATCGCCCGTGTCAAGAACACGCCCTATGACTTTCTAAAACCCCGTAAGGTGGGGAGCAGGATCGACAAAATCGATAGAGGATATGACAGAAACTACGTACTTGACAGCAATGAAAAAATGAAACCAGTGGCAATAGTTTATGATAAGAAATCAGGAAGAGTGATGGATATACAAGCAACTGCGCCTTGTGTGCATTTCTACACTGCAAATTGGGTCATTGACGTAAAAGGGAAAGGTGGATATGTGTATCAGCCTCATTCATCATTGTCTTTGGAGACTCAAGGATATCCGGACGCTGTGAACCACCCAAATTTCCCGTCGACAATTGTAAATTCGGGAAAGACCTACGCCCACTCTGTGCTGTATACATTCTCCATCAAGAAATAGTACTACCTAGAATGTTTGGCTTCTGTCTCTTGTATCCCTCTTAAAATATTCTACTTACATTGATTTTTGTATCATGGTTATATGTTCTCTGTGACAAATAAAAATCCGACATTCATGATATAATATAATTTTATTTTGTTGAAGTGTTTGGATAGAGTTTTCATAAAACTTTTTTCAAATATGTTTGAGCATTTGGACGTGGACTCACTGTTCAGGGATAGGATAAGTTTGTTTTTTTCTTCTCTAGAACAGATCGAAATTTGTATCTATATTGTTTCAAGTGAACAGTCTCCGTTGAGTTTGTTAATCACGTTTCTTAAGTGCTTTACCTAAGATATGATGTTGGCATTAATCCTGTCCTACCCTTCAAAACGTTAAATAATGAATATAGTTATTAAAATTATTCCAGATCATATCAAAGAAGAATGAAATCAGAGAGAAAAAGCTGTTATTTACTACATTCAAAATGAATTAGATTCGTAAAGGTACAACTGACAAATCTTCAAGTTTATTCTAGACACTAGACACAAATGCATTTACTATTTTAGAATCAAAATTTTACCTTTTAAAGCTATGAAACTCTAAAACAAACACGTGCGAACCTAATTCAGCTTGGGAGAGGCTTGGACAATATCCCTCTTTTGGGAACCACTTCTAATGGATGATGATGGTAGGCTAGGAGCTCGTGTTTTAACTACATTTTGAAATCTAATTACTATACTTTGATTGTATTTGAGTCTAACTGTTAGTACTTTGTACTTAATACTGTGTGTTATGTTGTGTAGGATGTGATTTCGAGTAAAGAAGCAAGTTTGAAGCTAAAATGGATGATTTGGAGCTTTGTAGTCTTAGTAGAAGCCCAATAAATTAAGTCAGAATCACGTTAGGGGGTCGAGGACCAAGTCTGGATGTCAAAAAGTGAGGAAAAAATAATACTCTAAGAAAAATGCACTACCGCGCCATGCGCCGCGGGGCGGGGGGCGCTAATGCAAATTTCCTGCCGAGTGAAAAAAATAGGCCTCTGAACTTTCCCACTAATTCGGCGCACCGCGGTAGTGTATTTTCTCGCCCAACTTTTTTCACTCCGGCTTGGAAAGGATAGTTTTGTCCGGGCATGTTCCTACATGGTATAAATATATCAAAAATACTTTTTAGAGGACTTTTGACCTTGGAAGCTTTTGGAGAACATTGAAGGCGATAAGACACAAGATTTCATTATCTTTCCATCAATTCAATACGGGAGTTTGGATTGTAACGTTAGATTGATGTTTTCTTACTCTTTAATTATATTTGTGATGACTTCCATGATTATGGAGTAGTTTCCCTTGGGGTTTGACGGATATGGTATTTTGATTGCTATTTGTGGATTTTAACTCTAGTTCTTTGCTTGAATTTGTTATGGAGTTTTGAATTGTTGTAACTTTATTCACCGGTTTATTTAATCGAAAGAGGAATATTTTGGTGATTATCTTTGTATTATTTGGTTTGGCTTTATTCAGTGATTCTTTTAAGTAATCGAAGTAGCTTGTTGAATTGTTGATTAGATCAAGTTAGGAGAATATTCGAGAGACGTTTTTCTGAACACTAATCCATTAACGCATGCTTGCATATTTTCACGGTGCTTATATTAGTTCACCTCGTAGAGTTAAGATTTAATCGAGAGAGGAGTCTTGGCTACACGTTTGAATTAATCATCGAGGCTTTGAACTAATCATCGAGTGAATTCGTGAGAATCATTAGAACAATAGTATGAATTGAACTAGAGTTGGATCCCAAATTGCTATCTTGCACCTATCCTGTCACAACCCTTATTTCTCCCATTGATTATTTCGGTGTTGCTCAACTTTTGTCTTTCAGTGATCAATTGTCGCTTGTTTAGTTTTTATAATTAATTTTAGTTATTAATCATCCCAACCAAAGTGTTAATCTTCCTGGATAGCGTTAAATTAGAAATTACTTGAACATTGTTTAAATCCAATTCTTGTGGAGACAATAATTAAACAATACTATATTTGACTAGCGAGCATCAATTTCGTGTTGTGTTTTATGCTCGTCAAAATTTGGCGCCGTTATCGAAGATTGACAATCAATTCTTTGCTTGAATTTGTTATGGAGTTTTGAATTGTTGTAACTTTATTCACCGGTTTATTTAATCGAAAGAGGAATATTTTGGTGATTATCTTTGTATTATTTGGTTTGGCTTTATTGAGTGATTCTTTTAAGTAATCGAACGAGCTTGTTGAATTATTGATTAGATCAAGTTAGGAGAATATTCGAGAGACGTTTTTCTGAACACTAATCCATTAACGCATGCTTGCATATTTTCACGGTGCTTATATTAGTTCACCTCGTAGAGTTAAGATTTAATCGAGAGAGGAGTCTTGGCTACACGTTTGAACTAATCATCGAGGCTTTGAACTAATCATCGAGTGAATTCGTGAGAATCATTAGAACAATAGTATGAATTGAACTAGAGTTGGATCCCAAATTGCTATCTTGCACCTATCCTGTCACAACCCTTATTTCTCCCATTGATTATTTCGGTGTTGCTCAACTTTTGTCTTTCAGTGATCAATTGTCGCTTGTTTAGTTTTTATAATTAATTTTAGTTATTAATCATCCCAACCAAAGTGTTAATCTTCCTGGATAGCGTTAAATTAGAAATTACTTGAACATTGTTTAAATCCAATTCTTGTGGAGACAATAATTAAACAATACTATATTTGACTAGCGAGCATCAATTTCGTGTTGTGCTTTATGCTCGTCAAAATTTGGCGCCGTTATCGAAGATTGACAATCAATAGTGTTCAAAATAGTTTTTGGTAAAATTGTTGACCCAAAACCGCAGAAGAAACATGATAACAAGAGTGTTAAAGGTAAAAACTTACATACACCCATTGTTGATAAGTGATAACAAACCAAATGCAGAAATTGTATTTTTTATACACATATTTATCACTTTAATATGATTGAGTAATATGCATTCTTATTTTAATTTTTAACGGCTAAGGTTAAATTCCTTAGTTTGGTGTAAATACAAGACGTGACAAACATAGATGCTTATGCTGTAAGACCCTATGAACCGGAAAAATGGAACACACACATAATTCATTGTAATGCGGTTGAAGGGCCAACATTGAAAGCTAAATTTAAGATATTTAAAAAGCAGAAGAATCCAAGAAATGGCGAAACATGTGATTGAGATTATTATGCTTCTCCATCTTTTAAGCCAAATAGTGGGCCAAGTTTTGATTATTTCCAGAATACGAATCACGCCAACGTGGGTGCCATTTTATTTGGATTTACATGTCAACACAAACTACTTCTGCAATTAGTTACATAAAATAATGGGAGACGGCTAACTTGACTGTCAATTTTAAGACTTCACACTCATCATTATCCATTTTCTACGGAGCTAACCAATTTCCACGCAGATTATTTGGGAGACAAGTTTTCTTTTGTTCACATGCAGGTAATAATCTAATCCCACAAATAATACCAGATGACTGGTAGTGGAGAAGTATATAAATTCAAAGGCTGAAGAGTTGTCATTAAGACGCCCCAAAGTCTAAAAAACGACTAGAGTTGACTATGTCTTTAAAGATTAATTTGTTGGTCTGTTTGTTCATTTTTCATCTGTTGGCTGCCGCTAGTGTTAGAGGGCACAAGATAGGGATCTATGAGATCAAGAAAGGAGATTTCTCTGTTAAGATCACCAATTATGGTGCCACAATCATATCTGTTCTTCTTCCTGATAAGCATGGTATGCCTGTCTTTTACCTAATCAAATCCCAATTTTTCCGAAAATGTATTCCTATTTTAACATCCATTTTGGAGTGGGTTGATCTAGTGGTAAGCAAACTCCACTTGAGTTCGAATCACCCAAGAGCAAGGTGGGGAGTTCTTGGAGGGAGGGAGCGAGGGTGTATCGGAAACAGCCTCTCTACCCCAGGGTAGGGGTAAGTTCTGTGTACACACTACCCTCCTCAGACCCCACTAGTGGGATTATACTGGGTTGTTATTTTTTTTGTTGTATTTTAGTTTCAACCTTCTTGATGTGAATATGTGTACTGTTTTCTGCTATTCCTTGAAGACTATAGTCTTATCTTGTGTTGCTATTTGCTAATTTCCAGGAAAAATAGGTGATGTTGTTCTTGGATATGACACTATCCAGGAATACAAGGTTAGTTCACTTTAATTTGTTCATCGTATTTGAATGCGTTTATTCCAATTTGCTCTTTTCTGAAAAAAATTTACTTCATATTCTCATTAAGAAAAAAGAGAAACAGAGAAAGGGAAGGATATATTCTTCTTGCCTTCCCTTTCTTTGATTGCCTTCTATTTTATTACTACAGTGTTGTTCTGGTTATGAGTCAATGGCACCGGTTCTTTGAATTGTACCATGTCAAAATCCATAGTCATTTGATACAGTCTAATTATAGTTCTTTCCTAAACCTCCCATCTTTTGGGTTGATGTGAAGTACATAGAAAGAAATTTAGTCGGTTTACTTTCAATTAATGGAAATCTGAACTTGAATCATTTAAATTTGAATTCATTAATGCATTTATTTTCTTCTCTTTTACAATCACTTATTTGTTTTGAATATATCTGATTTATTCAAAACTTGTACATAATCTTAAAATCACTAAGATGATGTTGCATTTGAAAATTTATGTGAATGAAACCTCTTACGAATACTCTATCTACTATCACCACACAACACCACCACCAGCAGCCTCTAATTATGTACAACTACTTTATAAGTATCTTTTAAGACTGCTTCCCTAGCCTATAATATCTCCGCTAAACCTCCCATCTACTGGATTGATGTGAAGGAAATTCAAAAGCCCCGTTTATTTTCACTTACGAAACTAATTTGGTGCAGAATGATACAAGTTATTTTGGAGCCACACTTGGAAGGGTTGCTAACCGGATCGGTGGTGCTCAATTTACTTTGAATGGAATCCATTATAAGCTTGTCCCCAATGAAGGCAAAAACATGTTGCATGGTACTCTCAATACATTTCCTTTTGCCTTTGCTTTCTCATCCACTTTTACCTCCATTACCCAAACTTCCTTTCTGTTTCTGATGCAATTGAAACTTTAAAAATATAGGTGGCCCTAAAGGATTTAGCAAAGTTGTATGGAAAGTTAGCAAGTACGTGAAAGATAGTCCAAGTCCTTACATAACTCTAACCTACTACAGTGCTGATGGTGAAGAAGGTAAATCTTGGTATTCCATACAAGACAATTACACATTCAGTTTCAATTGATGGAGTAACTTCTTTTTGAAGAACACTAATGAATTGAATAAACTCCATTGTTTTCTTATGTAGGATTTCCTGGTGCTGTTCTTGCCTCTGTTACCTATGCATTGAAAGATCCCTACAAACTTAGCGTGGTATTTAGGGCAAAAGCACTGAACAAGGCCACTCCAATTAACCTGTCTCACCACCCTTACTGGAACATTGGTGGACACAACAGTGGCGACGTCTTGTCCCAAGTTCTTCAAATTTTTGGATCACACATCACCCTAGTAGATAAACAGTTCATTCCCACAGGCGAAATTGCCCCCGTCAAGAACACGCCGTATGATTTCTTGAAACCCCGTAAAGTGGGGAGCAGGATCAATAAACTCAAAAATGGATATGACATCAACTATGTACTTGACAGCAATGAAAAAATGAAACCCGTGGGAATAGTTTATGATAAGAAATCAGGAAGAGTGATGGATGTACAAGCATCTGCACCTGGTGTCCAATTCTACACTGCAAATGGGGTTAATAATATAAAAGGGAAAGGTGGTTTTGTTTATCAACCTCATTCAGCATTGTCTTTGGAGACTCTAGTGTTCCCTGACGCTGTGAATCACCCTAATTTCCCGTCGACAATTGTAAATCCGGGAGAGAAATACGTCCACTCTGTTTTGTATACGTTCTCCATAAAAAAGTAGGAGTACTACAATGCTTATATTTTTTTTTTAAAATTTCCATTATGCTTCTGGCATTTGTATCTTCTGCATAAATTGATGTTTCTGTCAAGGTTATATGTTAGAGTTAATTTTATCCATGGTGATTGAACTTTTGTGTTTGTTACCCAAAAGTCACTTTTTTTTTTTTTTTTTTTTTTTTTTACGTAAAAATCATTTAACTTTGTGATCATTACTCAAAAGTCATTTTTCTTTCTTTTGTTATACAAAAATCATTTTACTTTGCTCTAGTTATCACAAAAGTCACATTTGCCAGATTTTATAATATTTTTACTTAAAAAGTCTATTATGCCCTTGATATTATATAAATCTTCATATTTATATAATACCTTCTATAGTATATACTATATAATATATTTTTACCTAGGTATTTTATTTATAACTAAAATAACTTAATATTATTTTATTTATTATTTTTATAATATATTTGTATATTTAATTTTTTCTTAACGTTAATTTTTAAGATATATTGGTAGCGTTATTAAATTTGTAAGTAACTTTACTATGAACAAATCTCACGTCAACGTTCTTAACCACTTGTAACGACTCAATCGGTCATTTTACCTTCTAGAACCCCATTCCCCTAAATAAGACTCCCCATATGTGCTTTTATTGTTTTATGACTTGCGAGGATGGTTAGTTCGGGATTTAGAAGGGTTTTGGTTGAAATCGGAACACTTGGTTCCTTAGTTTGGCTTTAAAAGATCAAGTTTGACTTCGGTCAACATTTTTAGGAAACAACACCGGAATCGAGATTTGACGGTTTCAATAGGTTCGTATGATGATTTTTGACTTGGGAGTACGTTCGGGTCGGGTTTTGGACAACCCGGGGCGTTTCGGCGCTTAACAGTGAAAGTTGACTAATTGAAGGTTTTAAAGTTATTTAAATTTTGGTTTTGAGTATGTTTTGGAGTAATCGAGGTCCGTTTGGAATTTCGAGCCTGGAAATAGTTCCGTATGGTGATTTAAGAGTTGCACGCAAAATTTGTTGTTAATCTGAGTAGTTTAAGTATGTTTCGGCGTGTTCGAAGTGAGTTTGAAGAATTTCAAAATTCTAAGTTGAATCCATTTGGTTTGGGGTATCATTCTTAGTTTTGATGTTGTTTTACGCATTCCGAGGGTTCGAGCAAGTCCATTTTATGATTTCAAACTTGTTGGTACGTTCGGGCGGGTAAAACACAGGTAAAAAGTAAAAATAAATTAGTTAAGGAAAAATTAAATGTACGTATATATTATAAAAAAAATAAATAAAATAATATTAAAATATTTTAGTTATAAATAAAATACCTAGGTTAAAAATATATTATATAATATATAATATAGAAGGTATTATATAAATAGGAAGATTTATATAATATCAAGGGTATAATAGACTTTTGAAGTAAAAATATTATAAAATCTGGCAAATGTGACTTTTATGATAACTAGAGCAAAGTAAAATGATTTTTGTGTAACAAAAAAAAGAATAGAGACTTTTGAGTAATGAACACAAAGTTAAATGATTTTTACGTAACAAAAAAAAAGTGACTTTTGGGTAACAAACACAAAAGTTCAATGACCATGGATGAAATTGACTATTATATGTTCTTTGTGACAAATAAAACACCTACATTTAGAATAATTGATACTTCCTCCGTTTCAAAGAGATTGTTTTAGTTTGATTTGACACAAATATTAATAACAAAAGAAGATTTTTGAGATATGTGGTCTTAAATAAGCCATAGCATTTGTGTGGCTGTAATACTTTTGAAACTTGTGGTCTGAAACCTGTCATATCACTTGTATGACAATAACTGCTTCTTATTAAGGAAATATTGAAAGGTGTTAGTCTTTTTGAAAAACAGACTAATAAGGAAATACTGTCAATCTTTTTTAAACAGATGGAGTAGTTTTTTTCTAGACCCAGTTAAAATTCGTAAGTTTGTGTCCTGTTAATAGTCTCAGTTGAGATTTCTTTAAATAGTTTTTACCAAATATCAGGGGCGAAGCTACGTTCAATCAAGACCACCCTTCGCCGAAAAATTATACTCCGTATAAGGTAAAATATTACTTGTTATTGATTAAAAATAGACTTTGAACACCCTTACATAGCCCACTGGCAAAGGTTTGAACACCCTTGTTGAATTTCCTGGCTTCGCCACTGCCAAAGATATGCTTTTGACATTGATCCTGTCCTACCAAATTGTTGATGCAATCATGCAAAGTTGCAAAAGAAACAGGGTAACAAGCAGAGTATTAAAACAAAATCTAAACACAACCCGAAGGACTACAATATGAATAACACTATGATCTGTTTTAATTTTGGTGAAGGGCAATTAAAATCTAAATTTACGACCTCCGAGGTATTTACAGAGTAGATCTAGTTCAAGAAATGGAGGAACAAGTGGTTGAGTTTAATATATATTTTATGCCAAATTATGGGAAAAGTTTTGATTATTTCCAGAATAAGAATCACGCCAACGTGGGTACCATTTTTTGTATTCACAAGTCAATGCAAACAGCTACTTCAGAAGTTAACTATACATAAATAATAGAGACGGCTAACTTGACTGTGTCAATTCTTAGACTGGACTCATCATTGTCCATTTTATACGGGGTTATCCCGGTTACACGCAGATTATTTAGGCAGACAAGTTCTTTTTTGTTCACATGCAGGTAATAATCTAATTCCAGAATAATGCCAGATGAATCCGAGGAGTGCATAAATTCAAGGCTGGAGAAGCTGCACTAAGACACTCTAAAGTCTCAAAAATACAGGAGCTGACTATGTCTTCAAAGATTAATTTGTTGATCTGTTTGTTCATTCTTCATCTGTGTGCTGCTGCTAGTGTTAGAGGGCGCAAGATAGGGATATATGAGATCAAGAAAGGAGATTTCTCTGTTAAGATCACCAATTATGGTGCCTCAATCATCTCCGTTTTTCTTCCTGATAAGCATGGTATGTCTGTCTGTCTTCTATCTTCATCAATCCCATCTTTCATCACCCTTCTTAACCATAAGTCTCGGGTTCGAGCCGTATGAATGAAGAAAGCCATTGTAGTAGCATTCACCTTCAATAGGTCGCGAATCTGTATTAGTCAGTAGGGTATATCAAATGGTTAATTAAAAAAATTCCATCTTCCAGAAAACGTAGTCCTGTTTTAAATCTGCTTTTGTTTGAACCTTCTTGATGTGTTTATCAGTACTGTTTTCTGCTATTCCTTGAAGAAATCAGTTTTACCTTGTGTTGATCCTTTCCAGGAAAAATAGGCGATGTTGTTCTGGGATATGACACCATCAAGGAATACAAGGTTAGTTCACGTTTGTTTGTCCATTGTACTCTATGCGTCTATCCCAACCTTGCTCTTTTCTAAAAACTTCTTCACATAATGTTCGACTTTAAGTCACTAAATTTGTTGAGCCGCTCCTGCCTTGAATTGTGCCAATGTCTCCATAGTCATTTGACATTGTCTAATTGTAGTTCCTTCAACAAAGACCGGGTCCCAAGCCTATAATATCTCCCCTAGGCCCTAAACCTCCCATCTTTTGGATTGATGTGAAGTATACTGAAGGATATTTAGCTCCGTCTGTTTTCACTTAAGAACAAAATTTGGTGCAGAATGATACGAGTTACTTTGGAGCCGCACTTGGAAGGGTTGCTAACCGGATTGGTGGTGCTCAATTTACTTTGAATGGCACCCATTATAAGCTTGTTGCCAATGAAGGCGTAAACATGTTACATGGTACTCTCGCTATATTTTTAATTACAATTTCTTTCTCTTTCACTTTAGCCAAATTTCCTTTCTCTGTCTCTGATGTAAATAAAACTTCAAAAATATAGGTGGTCTTAAAGGATTTAGCAAAGTTGTCTGGAAGGTGAGCAAGTACGTGCGACATGGTCCAAGTCCTTACATAACTCTAACCTACTACAGTGCTGATGGTGAAGAAGGTAAATCTTCGTATCCATTCAAGACAATTACATCCTTTATTTCAGTTCATGTGGCGTAGTTGACTGGATATGGATACGAAATTTAAGAACTAAGGCTTTTATAACTTGTGATTTAAAACATGTCATGATATTTTTGTAGATATTTTTGTTGATAAAAGCATGACATTACGGGTAAACTCCATTGCTTTCTTATGTAGGATTTCCTGGTGATGTTCTTGTCTCTGTTACCTATGCATTGAAAGATCCTTACAAACTTAGCGTGGTATTTAAGGCAAGAGCTCTAAACAAGGCCACTCCAATTAACCTGTCTCACCACCCTTACTGGAACATTGGTGGTCACAACACTGGCGATGTTTTGTCCCAAGTTCTTCAAATCTATGCATCACACATCACTCCATTAGATAAACAACACATTCCTACAGGCGAAATATCCCCTGTCAAGAACACGCCCTACGACTTCCTGAAACCCCATAAGGTGGGGAGCAGGATCAACAAAATCCAAAATGGATATGACATCAACTATGCACTTGACAGCAGTAAAAAGATGAAGCCCGTGGCGATTGTTTATGATAAGAAGTCAGGAAGAGTGATGGATATAAAAGCGACTGCACCTGGTGTGCAATTTTACACTGCAAACTTCGTCATTAACACAAAGGGAAAAGGTGGATATGTATATCAACCTCATTCAGCCTTGTGTTTGGAGACTCAAGGGTTCCCGGATGCTGTCAATCATCCAAATTTCCCTTCGACTATTGTGACTCCCGGAAAGACCAACGTCCACTCCGTCTTGTACACATTCTCCATCAAGAAATACTAGAATGCTTATATTAATTTTGTGTCTTTTGTATCTTCTGCATAAATTGATATTTGTGTTAAGGTTAAATGTTCTTCCTAACGAATAATATACCTGACATTTGGACTCAATACAGTTGTGTTTTAATGGAGTTTTCAGACAACTGCTTTCAGATATATCAGAACTTGTTTTTAGTTAATAGTCTCCATTGAGTGTTCTGATCACATTGCTTCATAAAAATAGTCGGCATTTTCATAGGTGGCATGTTTTGCATAAGATATGTTGTTGGCATAATTCTGTTCCTACCCTTCTAAACATTATACATTGCATAATAACAACTAATGAATCTAGTTAGTAGAAGTAAAATCTAAATC